TGTCATGCACAGTAACTCTAAACCCTCATATGACCATGGTAGATCACTACATTGGATTGTTTAAATGGAATTTAAAATTCCTCTGTTGTAGACATGCCACATATAGCAGATTTTGAGATTGTGGTTAATGATGAAGCAGAGCTGTGTTGAGGGATTTTCACTCTACCTCAAGAAGGATTTAGTATAATGCTAAAAAAAAGAAATGAGATGAATGTGACAGGTTATCACGTCACAGTTGCCAACGGGACAGGGGACGATTTCGATTTTTCTGCTGTAGGACAGAATATGTTTGGGTTAGGGTTATACGTTTAGAAACGTGTGATGAGGGTGAATTAGGAACATCTGGAGAAGACCCCTGCCTGTGAGGTCTTCAACTCCCACCTCCAGAAGAATTTTCTCTGCATCCCAAGGGATGTTGGGGGACTTAGGACCCAAGACGTCCATTTAGAGCCTCCTTTGCCAGGAGACAAAGCTTTCATTTTATAAGACAATCTAAGCTCCCACCCTTACCTATAGAGTCATGGTAATTAGGTAGTGAATAAAAGATTGTGATCTCAGATTCAGGCAGCTTAAAGGAACAGACTCAATACATTGGCTGAGCTCAGATTAATAGTTAGGGTGAGGAGTTCTGAACTTTGGAGAAGAACTATTGTTCCAACAGATTAAAAAGAGCCAGTTGATGTGGTTCAATGCTCTGATTAGAATGGCTCCTATGTGTATTCCATTTTAAGTTTTTGGGGCACGCCAAACCGGGACCCCAGGGCAGGTCCAGGACTTGATGGTGGGATTGTGCATCCCATCTGACTCAGGAACACCTCCGAATCTCCTAGGGGGGGCTTGCTGTGAAGAAAGATGCCTGAAATACACTGCTTAGCCTACTGCCACCACCATCTGACCTCAGATATTAAGAGAATGGACTAATGGTGGGGACGCAAAAAGAAGTGGAATAAAATGTACTTTTGTCTAAACCTTAGCAAAACTTTGCATTTTCTCCCTGTCATACATTAATTTTAGCAATGCACTTGCCACTGTACATAAAGCCACATATACTCTTGCATTCCTCTTTTCTATTTTTTAATACATGCATTTGTTTTACCACCAAGTGACAGCCTCATTTCATTCTATAAAACAAATATCTGCATGTGGAGCAATAATTCTATATTGACACTCCACATGAGTATTTGTGAGTGAGATGGCACACATGCGAGGCAGGCTGGTGGTTCTCCTCGTGAGCGTTAATCGTGATTTAGCAGCTTAAGGAAGTCACACTTCCCTGGATGATCCCCATGTGCTCTGGCAGCCACTGATAGTCAGCAAAGGCCACCAGCACACAACCAGGGAACCCTTGCTACCACAGACTGCATTTTCGCTCTCATCCAATGTACTTGCAAGCACATGTTGGGTGCTGTTGCTATCAACACAAACAGTGAACGTACATCTTGAGTTTTTTGAAGTGACAGAGCTGTGCTGCTTGTTAACCTCTGTCTGGCTGACAGGCACATGGTGACTCACACAGCCAAGGGGAACCAATGGCCTAGAATGAAGCCACACCGCTGGAAAAAGCTGTTTTTAACTGAACTAAATCTCCATGGCTGCATGTCCAGTGCTTTTTGTGGGATTTAACACACAGTGAGTGCATTTTGGCTTATTCAGTGTATAGTGAATGGGCTTCTTTCTTTATAACCATTATACAATTGCTGCACATTAATGGCCTAATCTTCCTGCATGGAGCTGTGTTGGCCACCCAGAGAGAGGGAGAGAGGGAGGGAGGGAGAGACAGACACACACATGGTAGGAGACTGCACAAAAACCAGCAACTTTGTGAGGTAATTAACAGATTTAACAGATTACACTAGCAAAGAGTGTCTCTCACCCCCCCCCCACTCTCTGTCTATCTTCTCACTCTCTCAAAAATATAGACAAAGTAGACACATTTTTGTCATTAAAATGACTGATGTGTGTGCCAAATTTAATTGAATGAACTCCTTGTGTCTCTTGTGCACTAGTGGATGTGTTTCTTTCTTTATCTTGTGTTTTCTTTCTGCCAGGGCCTCTGATAGCTTTCTTCATCACCTCCCTCTTCCAGCAGGGTTTTTTGCTAATTTCCAGCAATAAGAGGCTTTACAGGAAGGCCATATCTGGGACCACTCTTGCAATGATCAGTATCGATTATTCTCAATGGCTTGCTGGAGGAATGGGGGTTAGGGAACAGGGGACAGCAAAAGACAGATATTTTTTCTTTCTGTTGCTAAGAGACAGTAACTGGCATAGCACTGGAGGCTGTGGGTGGTAGGGGGAATGACAGAGAGGGCATTATGGGAAGATGCTGGAATAAAAAGCTTCCTGTTAAATATTGTGTTAAACATAAAGCAATTCTGTCATTTGAAGAAATGAGCGGTGGTAATGTTAGTGGTAAGCAGGGGTGTAGGGGTGAAGAGGGTGACGGACTAAAGGTATCAGGAAAACAAGATTTTTTTCAGCAGTCACATTTATTGATCTAGTCATTTCTTCTACTGATGAGTCCACACTACTATTACTACTACTACTACTGGCAAATGATGTGTTTTGACTTCTACATACACTGGCATAGTATGAGTAAAATTATCTTCCTCAAATGCTGTCATACCAAGAATTTGTATGACGTCCTACTAGTTCCTGCATACCTTTGTTCAAGCACTCGAGAGTACAACTGTAGTTTCATAAGCATCACTGAAACCACAGATTTCAGTAGAATTTGACACTTATATAAATAGAAATGCAGTAACAAAGTGAAGTTTCTATTGAGCTATTTTTTTAAACCTATTTACATGCATGCTTACTTGTTCTTTATTTTCTTTGTAGTTACATTGAAAACTAGAATACCAATCAGTAGAGTGCACACATTCACCAAGTTCCAACAGTCCCATTATGAAACCTCAGTTAAATATATTAGACCAAATTGCACACACTCATAAATATCGGTCCCCTAAATATGCCTATATATTTTTTTGTCAAATCTCCTGGATCTACCCCCTTATTCGGATCCACACTAAAATTTAGTAATCCGTTCATTATTTTTTTGGTGTATTCTTGCTTAAAAATAAACAGATCAACCAACAAACAAATAGGTGGGTGAAACTCCCCTCTCTATTTTACCTTTGTCCTAAATTGAAACTGGAAATAAAGAACTGCTGCTGCATCCAAACTTGTAGTCCTAAGGGTGTTGCATTCAAGCCCTCAGAGGCTGGACGCTGGTCTTTCATTTTCAGAAAAATATCTATTATCCTTTTGCTTAAGACCTCCTGCCGAGGACATTTGTCACTTGATCTTTGCATTGGGTTTCCCCACATTTGCTTCACCCTTATCTGGACAGTATCACACTGGCAGCCTGAGGGTAAAATGGCCTCCTCTTGTGTGTATTGGCTGTGTCAGTGGTGAATTTCTCTCATGCTCTCTCTCTCACATACACACTCACACACATGCACATTCCCCAGTGAACATTTCTGGCTTATGTTCAATACTAGTGGCAAACTGGAGGAGGGACTGAAGGAAGGAAGGTAACAGTTTGAGTAGTTTGGGGCAAGGGAGCGTTACTGACATTACACAGGTGAACATTGTGGAGTGCTGAAAGACTGGACTGATTCAGCTGTCCAACTGGGGGGGGGGGGTTTGCGTGATACTTATTAACCATTTAAATAGTAAGTAACAGAATTATATTTTGTTATTTTGATATTTTGCAAATCTATTGTCTGAATGCACATACTGATAGCGAGAAAAAGCTGATTTATGTATTCCAATTTATATTTTCATCAGACCCTAGCAGTAGGCAGCAGGAGTACAAGCTGCCAGCTTTTCACTCAGGGTTATTTGGTCTCTGTGTGAAACCATATCAGGACAAAGTAGGTCATTGTGGTCAGTTTCCCAATTACAGGCGAGCATGTGTAATTTACTGAGGCAGATTAAATGGGAAAATCTGATGTGAATGCAAACAAAAGGAGAACCCTATGACAGAAATCATTATATTTGAAGTGCAATTTACAAGTATGCCCCTGGTTTCATAGGTATATGTTTATATTTTTAATTTCTACAGTTTGTGTATGCGCGTGTGTGTGTAAGAGAGGACTAGGGTTGAGACCTTGTTAGCATTGCAGGCAGCCCTCTGCCTCAGACAGTCTGGTCTAGCCAGTCAAACTTGTCATTATATCGAACACCCACTGCTTGAGCTGTAAAAAAAATACACACACAGAAAGGGCCTTGTGAGTGCGTTGCATGCTAACTACCAGATTACGCTTTACGGTTGTGAAAATGTATTATATTCTGCTGCTTAAGTGCATCGCCATTTAGTCTAGGTCTCCAACATATCTGCGTCCCATATGGTTCAAGCTGTCGTGGACCTCCTGTGGGGAATTTAATTGGTTCTCCCAGCAAATGCGGAACCTTGTTGGCAGATGACAGGTAACGAGGGCTGTCAATCAACAAAAACATAAACCCAAGCTCTGCATCATGAACAAGATCTGGATTCAGGTTTTGTGGTGTCAGAGAAGGCAATAATTAGACTTGAAGTGGAAGATAAATTCTAAGTCTAACTTGCTTAACATATTTAAGTAATTCATTACTGTAAAACCTGTATGTTTTTTTTCTTTACTATCAATGTTTTCTTTTAAAATTTAATCTGTGGGGGGAAAAAAATCACTTTCTCATACCTGTGCTTTTAAATATTGTGTTAAGTGTTTTAACTGAATGTTCTTGTACTCCTTTTGTAAGCAAGTGTTACAGCTACCATTGTTTATTGTACAATAATATTGTGCAAGTGGACAGTTCTTCAAAGTTGTAACGAGGATGTGTCTGAAAAGAAACTACATTAGCCACACCTTTTGTTTTTTGTGGCCTCAGTCTAATATTTGCTTACTTCATTGTTTTATATACTTTTCCCATATTCCTCTGTAGGCTTCCACTATATTGATCTGATATTGATTATCTTTACTCATCTGTACACCCCCCATCTCCACTGTCTTCCTCAGGTCATGGAGAGCGTTTACTCCTGCTAGAAGTACTACCTAGGACAAAGCCAGCACGTGGGTGGTGGTCAGAGGGTGCGTTGCCTAAGTCAGCTGGTGGTCATGTGTGAAGCTGTGGTCTGATGCCCACCCTCCCCTCAGCGCTGGCCATGGACGGGGAGAACTACCTGCATCCAGAGGGCCCTCAGCTGGACAGCAGCTTGTTCTCTGGTGTCTCCTCTAACATGGAGGTATATTATTGCATTTAGTTGCAACTATAATACTTACTCACCATTTAATATGAATACATTTTTTAGAGGTGAAATAAATTCCTTCAATTAGATCAGGGTAATTTATTGTATTATTTCAGTGTTTTAAGTTTATTGTAGCTTAGCATGCTTTTGCTAAAGGATATTTAAAGCATTTTGTTTATAATAAAGACATGTTTTGTTAAAAATATATATAAATTTAAATTATGCTAGAGATCATTTAGCAATCCTATGTGATTGTGCTTAAATTGCAGTGAGTATGTAATACTTAATACATGCTTAAAGTATGATATGTGTTGGGTGCAGAACAGTTTTATAGGAAACACTAAGAGAGTTAAACAAGGTGGCCCATTGATTTTTCCTTTCATTGCTCACGATCTCATGTCCTGCATCTTGTGTAAATATACTACAGATGTACCCAATACAGATCAAATATTTACTATCGCACATCTCAAACAGGTTATCTCATGTACTGTTAAGAGGTGTGGTGGTATTACTTGCTGGGCACATCTGTATATTGCCTATTTTCATGTCATCATTCAGTCATCATTCTTTCTGACCTCAGTTACACTAGTGCAGTTGATGATGTCATTGGTGACGAGGTTCGACAGATGCAACTCCGATCATCCAGTTGACATCAAACTTTGCAGTGTTGACTGTTAAGTGTTATGGATGAGCCTTTGAACAAATGACTGAGAGAAAGAAATATTCATAGATTTTCACTACAGTGCATGTGAAAATGCATAGGTGTGATGATAGTGATTGTGGTTTTTTTTTAATTATAAATGTGTGATACCAGGTCATTTTTGCTGTTTCATAGAGTCTGTGTTTTTATGTCATGTTACACATATTCATTATTATATTTCTATGCTATTTACAAAGTTTGACAGATTTTAATATCTTTCATTTTCTATGCTTTAGAGTTCAATATACGCATCCTCTGGATCCTGGGGATCTTTTTCTCAGCAGGCTGGATACAGCATACACTGCCCTATGCAATCTGGAAACCAGTAAGTATTTACAATCTACAATCTACCTTTTAATACCATAAGCAAAGAATGATGGTATGGCAGCTAAAAACATGGCAAGCAATGACACATTATCTTTGTGCAGTGTGCACTAGTACATACATGCCAGCTGACAGACTTAAAGATTTTTTTTCCGTAACAAATACCATACTCAGTACTCACAACTGGTGACATACTTTACATTGAAGACTGTTAATTGTTGGCAATAACTACCCAATGGAGATTCCTGCAAGAGCTACCAATTTGTTTCAAGCAAGCAATGTGTTTTGTGCGCCTTGTGTTCTTAGTCCTGTTATTTGTGTATATTGGACTATTGTATTATTGTTTTTGACAGATACACCTACATGACAAACAAAAATCGTTCCTCTTTATTTGTAGAACTTCTGTAAAAAACAGTTGTAAAAATAAAATGTACTCAAATCTTGTTTCTGTGGGTTAGTGATTGAACTAGAAAATGAGTTATGCTGCTTCACTTTCGTGGAGAATGAGGGTATGTTTGGGGTCAATTAATCAATTAATGTGATGCTTGAATAAAAATGAAGTCTGTTTAATATATGTGGTGCCAGCGTACATTAACATAAAAATTCACTTCTGTGAATGAGAAACATGAAATTTAAAACTGTCTCAGTTGGGCCCAAAGGTTTCACACTTCTTTTTTCAAATCTTGCATTGACTGAAATTTTACAGTTGATCTGATTCCAGTATTGCATTGTTGACGCCTCAAGTGACAAAATATTATCAGACCCGTACATCGGTTCTTAAGCTAAAACCAAATCCCCAGCTCACTTCATTGGGGGTGGTCTCTTTTATCTGCCCTCGTTCATTTCCTGTAGTGGGTGGTCTGGCGTCAGCTTTACTAAGGAGATTGATCTCAACATCTTGCACCTCGGCTCTGTTTTTATGACTAACAGTAGTAAGCAGCTTGTCAACCAGGCAGAAGCAGCTACAGTCCTCCTCTGCACTGCATCCATTTATGCAGAAATCAAAGCCCAATATGCCGATTGTGTAGTTGTACAACTCAGCAAGTGTTCAACACATTTTCCTTGTAGCACATAGACCTTTGTTTAGCCTTAGTGAAGAGTTATTTCTACTAGGGATGAGTATAATTGTGATGCAGCTTAATTTATTTTACAATAATAGGCCCTACTTAGATAATATGTGGATTCAATTTGAAATTTGGCCTGGTTTGATATCTATGAGTTCTCCTCAGTAGTTAAGGAATTTATTTGTGTCTTCTAGCAGTGGTGATTTGTGTTGTTACTGCTTTGTGTTCACCTGACGTTCAAGATGACGTGAGAGTCTGTGGTTTTTAATTTCACGCAAAGTGTAGATGTAGATGTCTTATCTCACTCTTCATGGTGCAATATTCAAATATGATTAACACCATGATGTGCCAGTGTTCAAATATGTTCAAGATCAGGATGTGCGTGTGGTTTAAAGATGTTTGCTGTGACTGAATACCATCTACTTATTGGTTATTGTGTTTTAAAGAACCTCATTTAGAAACAACAATTTCTTGTTGTTTGAAAAAGAGGTAGTAGATGTTTGGTCCCAGAGTGACCTTGCAGTGTCTTTACTCTGTCACAAAGTCACTCTTTGTAATTTTTTGCTGTAGCATTGCTCTTGATTAGATTTAATTTAAATTAAACAGGGCTGAGGTCCTAAAGCATCCATTTCTTCTTGTCCTCTATCTACATCTATACTTGTTTTCTTTGATCAGGCTGTTCCTACTCAATCACCTTTCCTCGACCTTGTTGGAAATCATCATGAGGTCTGGGAAAGATTTGGAGAAGGTCATTAATGTCTTAAATCAATGTCTTAAATGTATCCATAGTTTTTAACAGTACCATATCTTTATGTAGATAGATTGTGCCTGCCTCAGTCTCCCTTTCCATCATCTGCCACTTTTATCATATTTTTTCGTCTGTCCCAACGCGTCAGTCAGTGATAAATGTTTAGGACCTTGTGAGATATAACTAAATAAGGTTGTGCTGACCTGAGTGAATCACTATTGCTTCAAGACATATCTGACCGTATATATCCAAACCACGGCCACACCACTGATGTCAAGACCTTTTTTGGTACAAGCCCCTCATCCCCTGTGCTTGTCAGGTTTCATGGTGGCTAGGTGTGTGCTCTAATGGTAGACACAGCAGAGTGTGTGACGTTGCCAACTAAGCACTGAGACAAACATATCAATTCTGGTGTTGCTTGTCTTTTCACTTTCAACTTTACTCTGCTGATCATGTAAAAAAATCAGAGAACTTAACCTGAGCCAAGGTATGCATATGTTGACTTCTACACACTTAAATCTAGGAGGCCAGGTGGAGCAGGTCCGCAGATAATCAGAAGCCTAAATATGCAGCATCTGTGGAGTTCAGTGCATGTCTGATAGCAGCTTAATGGATATTGATGAAAAAAACAGGCATGTACGGGGGACTGATATCTATGAGGGTGGTACTTTGGTGCAGATCCAAATAAAAATCTGGATCTAGTGAATTTAAATATGTTTTATAAGGGGACATTTGGGCCTTGGCATATGTATGCACTCTACAAAGTGCCATTCTAGTTTCGATTATGGCATTAATGCCAGATAACTTCCTTGTATTCTGTTTGACTGAACTGAATCAACAACTAGAGTCTATATCCTATAGACATCACTAGATGCTTTGTTTCTTCCCTGGTGGAGCTCTCCCAGACCTTTATTTTAGCTTTGTTCTCCATTTGCTGGATAATCCAGTGTGCTTGATTACAGAGCCAGAACAATGCAACATATAAAAAAGGTCACTAACTACTAGTTACAGATTGCACTGTACATGTTTACTAATGCAAAAAATACAGTCTAATGCTGTTAAAACCTTGATAGTGCTCAATATAAACTGAACTTCCTAAAATACACTGGGGTTTCCTGTTTTTTTCTCTCACAAACAATTACAAGAGGGAAAATAAGCCACCAACAGTGGCAGTTTGTTGGAGTGTGTGTTTACGTCTGTCCCCCACAGCTGAGTCTGGTTATTGTTTACTGCAGAATATTTTTTTAATGTATATTATATCTGTGATTGTCTGTGACATATTGTATAGTTATCAGTCTCAGATTGTTTGCAGTTGTTAACATGGCTCTGTGAAATACGACCACAATACAGACCACATTTCAAAGATTTTCTGTAGACAAGTCTGAGCTGAGCTTCTCCAAAGTTTAGTTGGACCTGCTGCCTGCCATTGCTGAGTTATTCTGTGTTAATACTGCCCGCAGCACCACACTGAGATATTTCCCAGTGCTGTGACTTCAAGTTCATTTACTGCTGGAAGCGTGAGAGTCACATTTCATGGGTGTACTGACTATAAGCAAGAGTTCATCCAAGGAATCTCAGTAGTTGGTTATTATCTGGTGTCACAGTTCAAAATATAGTCTTGTGTTGTTCAGGAGACTCTTTGATAAACACCTTCGTCTTTCTGTGGAGGTAGCATTATACCGTTGACGATCGATGTCAAGATGGACGATGATCCATATCCTCCCACTATCTAGAAATGAGGCCAAAAGATCCTGGTTTCAAACACTGCCCTCTTGCGCCAATAGCGTTATCTGGAACCAGAGCATGCGCAGAAGTGATCGGGGAGTAAAGCAGGAGTTAGTAAGTGTCAGTCTCAGCTGCCAATCGTGCTGTTTCACCCCATTTTTATATCATCAAATAACTAAGTAATACCAAACTCACCTTATCATTGTGATTAGACAGAAATGCATTTGACATGTATTTAGACGTTTTGTTCATGTCCTATCTGCTAACTTGAAGGAGGCAGGGTTTATAACTGCATATATTCTGCAGCCAGCCTCTAGGATGGAGATGCTCTGGCTTCACTTTTTGGCTGCTTTCATTTTATCCATCTTATATGCAGCCTGTGGTTTTGAATGTCTTTCTCTAAAATACATGGAAGTAGTGATTTTGTGTAGGATTTTGCATCTGTAGGTGATGTATTGTTTTTACTGTATCTAACGTAAGGGAATCTTATCTTATCTTATCAAGTAAATCTACCTCAGTCAAAGTCCCACTGCTATAATAATGGGTAAAAAATTATTGCATTACTTCAAATTTGAGCTTTGATGTTTCACTTTGTGTAGGTGTTATCTAGGTGTTATATTGTAGTGGTGTTAGCTGAAATTACTTGAGAAGAGGTACTCTCAATGATCTGCTATGTTGAATTTGATGATGAGTGAACAACATTTTAGTGTTAAAAATCCAGCAGTGCTGACACTTTAAGCCCCTAATTATGGTCATTATTAAGAAATTAGTCATTCAGAGACATTAGTTGATAAATATCATTCTAGCCAGTTGACAGATGATAATCAAGTATCTTTGTAAATGTCCACTGATGGAAGCCAAATGTTCAAACACAGCAATTGGTACGTGCCTGGCCAGCAATGTTGTAGCCTCAAATCAAAAGATTGTGCAACAAAAATATGGTTCATGTGACGATCAGTCCACAACTACAGACTATGACAGACAGTAATAGAAGGCTACATATACACAAACAGTAAGTCAATCAGTATCTTTGGCCAAAAGCCCCTAACCAACTCTGTGTTGTTGGAAAGGAGCATATGCGGGTTTGCCAAGACTACTGCTATAATAATATCACTGTCATATCACTGTTGACTAAAATTCCAGGAAGGGGATTTCCACTGTGGATGATTTTTATTATTCACTATGAACTCATGACCATGTTTCTAGTTTATATTCATCACTCCTGATTAGAAAAGTTTACGTGTATTTTTCCAATAGGTTTTCTCTGGACATGATGGCACAAAAGTCAAAGTTTGTGTTTATTTTTCTAACTGTAATCAGTGATCACTGTTAAAAAAACAAGCAAAAATAAAAAAGAACTGTGTCCCAGCTAGGCGTGTGTGATATTGAAAAAAAAAAATGTCTTGATATTTTGCTGATAACGATTAACCAATATCGGCCGGGCTCTCTGTCCAGAATGAGTGGGTGAATGAGAGTTAGAGTGAGGGTGGGAGGGAGGGAAGGAAAAAGAGAGGGGGATAAGGCTGAGAGACCCATGCACTCACACCGTGAATGAGAAGGCAAGCTCTGAGACCTGTAGAACGCTGGAAAAATTATTTATTCATCAAATACTTGGCTGGCGGAGAGGGGTGCACGCTCTGTGTGCCTGTATCCGGGCTAGAGGCACTCAAACTCGGCCAGTGGAGCTTGTGCGAGGCGTCTGGCTCTTCCTCACTCACTCACAGGGCTGGTGGAGAGGGGCGCTCGCTCTGTGTGGCTTTGCCCAATACTCGATAACGTGAACTCACACATCGTTATAACAACAATTAAGATATTATCATAGACGATAAATATCGCACACCCCTAGTCCCAGCCCAGAGATATTTGTGATATTCTGAAAGATGATTTAGGAATTTGTTTTAAGCAGACACTCACTAAAGATAGAACTATTAAATATTGAATTTTGCTGCATGTTGTTGTTCTTGTTGTTCATTAAAAATCACTGCGTCCATGTTTTCATAGACTGGCTTCTATACACTAGCTCGGGGCTGCCCTTTCATCCTCTTGGTGTGTTTTGAACTTAAATCAATCAGTCTCACTGATCTCTGGCCTGTGGTTGAGGATGCAGAGCCAAATCCAATGAATAGCTTTGGCCAAGCTCATTCCCTCTGAGCCTTAGCCCTTGCACATGATTGGATGAGAGGAACATGGGATGTTACGGTTTAAGTCCCACCTTCACAAAGGTTTAGTTTTGCTTTCATTTTGAGAGTGGATCCACTACTTTTAGTTTAGTGGCTTGTCGTGTTATGATGACTCGTAGTCACCAAGAAACTGAAAACGTCTCACACTGGTGATATGAGGTCTGTAGACACACATCTGCATTTATAGTACTGGGTTAAAGAAGAATGATTGGTTTTAACAAAAGGTGGACATTGGATCTTCAGAGCAGGTTGGAGCAGATGTGTATTCTCTATCTGTATCTCTTTGCTTATCTGTCCTCTTCTACCTTTAAGCCTTTTCTTTATTTGATTTTTAACAAATCTCTACCTCTTTCATTTTGAACCTAAGTGACAATGAATTTTTGTTATCATTCTTTTATCTTTGACTGTTGAAGAATTGTTTTCATTTCTAGTTTACTGTGACAATAACCACACTGAATGTGTACTTTTTAGATGGTAGGTTTGGCTAGCATTAACAACTAAGGTTTGATAGGAATGAAAAAATGTCAAGGTCCATTTCATTTATAACTTGTTTGATTTAAAGGAGTCTAACAAAACCTTGAGCAGTATATTTAAGGACACAAGATGTGACCCCAGGCCTGGAAGCTTGTGGATATTTTAAATGTGTATTTTTTAGCTGGCAGGTTGTGCTAGCTTTAAAAACCAGAGTATCTAAAAGTATTAACTGAAATTGTGTTTACCTGTTAAGTTTGTGTGCTGTGTTGGAATTGCTAAAACAGGATGTAATACTATGTCATAGTGTTGATTACCATATTTGTGGTATAAAATCACTGGATCACCTCCTTGTACAGTGTTGATTGTGGCATTTGATCACACATTTTTAAGTGTCCCTTTCATTTCTTTACTGGAGCTGCTTTTTGAACAGTAGTAGAACACTGTGTTTTTATTTGGTGGTTGTAAGGTGTACATTTACTGTGAAGAAAACAGCATGTGTCAGTTTTACGTGGATAACGTGGCAAGTAAACACACTAAACCTCTTCTTTCCCATACAGGCAATACCACTTTAACAGCAGCACTACCACCACCACTCCGGATGTGCACATGGACGTGTACTCTGGATTCCCTGAAGTGGACTTTTCCAGCCTCAACGTCCCTCGAAATGGAGATTTTCCCCAGGTAGGTTTTACATGTCTGGTGTACATATTTATATTTGTATCAAAGTAACACACACACACACAACAAGCGCCAGCACAAACCTACTCAACCTATATACTCACCTACTCAAACACCGGTTACCACGCCTCCCACCCTCCTCTTTCATCTTGTCCCCCATAAGTATTCAGCTCAGCTTAATTTACCATCAAGCAGTCTGATTAAAGCCTAGTGTTGTCTAGACGACTGCAGCTGTACCTGCCCCGCTCCTGTCAAGGCATGTCATTAATAAGACACTGCAGTTTAACTTTCTTCTACACTTCCACAGTGCACCTTCAGAAGTCAGTGTTATTTTCAGTCACGCTTTGATTGATTCCACAAAGTGATATATGTTTCAGGAGCAAGTTGAAGATGTGAGATGGTCTTGAAGCTCTTTTTAATAATTTGGTGTCTTTTGGATTGAATTGTGTTTAGGGAATACAACTGTAAGAAAAGAACATTTATTTCAGAATGTGAAATGTTTTATATTGGCAGAGAAATAATAGTGCAGCCTTTCTTCTCATTCAAATGTTTACCCCCTCCCCCCATTCCAGATGGCTTATATCCATCATTTGCATTTCTATATCTTTGCACTTTTGTGTCCATCCAGCCAATTCCTCATAGTTAGCTTTAGATGAATAGCAGCCAATTGTAATGACACAGACCAGTGACCTTCTAATCTGAGGCATATTTGGGCTGAGTTGATGAGCGCCATTATGGAAGCATATTAAAACACAATATGCTATGATAATGACTTTTAAAGAAGGGCAGTCATGAGTTACAAGGCAGAGTGGCAGTATCCCCCTCATGATTATCCTGTCCGACAGAAGAAAAGGCAAAGCAATCAGGGGTTGGTTCAACACAAGGCCAAAGCAGTAAATAATAAGAGAACGGTAGCAAGAGAAAGGGCATTTCTTACCTTAACTATGCATTTTTATGGCTTTTCACTCAATCGTAAAACATTTTCTTATTCTATCGCTTTAAACTGCTGCTGACCTGGATTTTATGTCCCCACAAGTTCAAATTGTTGTGTAAAGGTTATTTCTTGTTACAGAGCAGATGTGAGTTCACAGTAAATGCTAATTGTAGCTTGAATAAAAAGGTTCAAAGCATCCTCAACATTGAAGATGAGTTCCTGTTAAGTGCTTTAGGGCAACAAATTAATTCCATTCATATCAGATCATCTCTGGAACAAACGTCTGAAGCCCCAGTAAATAAAAGTGAAACCACTGTAATCTCTATGTCTACATACCACTTGTTATCAGTGCAAAGATACTTTGCCCATTTGAAATGGAAACTGAAACGGCATTCTACAGTATCACATTCACACTTATATAGAACTAATTGATAAAACAACTTATTTACATTTTTGTATAAATGTGAAACACAGAGGTTGCTTATCAAAAGTATAAAATATATAAAGGGATTTTCCTTCAGCAATTACTGTATATGCCTTTTGTTTTTAAGCCTCTTTGATAACTATGGCCAGATGCTTTATGCTGTCTGGTTGACCATTTGTCCATCCTGTGCTCATTATTGCAACATCTTAGGAACACCTAGAAGAAATTTAGTACAAATATTTACTTGGACTAAAAGATTAACTGATGTCCAGTTCATGGTGAACTCACAAAACACATTTGAGGTCATAACTTGTCACAAAATACATTGATATGGTGGTGAGATGAGACAAACATAGATGTAAACTGCAACTTGACTGGTTGGCAGAGGCACACAACTGCGAGGTAGTAATTCTACTTTGTCGCTTGCAGTCTAAGAGTTTGGCAAAAGCTCAAACCTAAATTGTGGAATTTATTCCAAGTAAGATTTTAAGAAGTTAAGTCCTCACAGGTATACATTAGTATGTCTCACAGGAATGCTTGCAAGAAAGAGTGTTGATTCTGGACCGAATTGTAAACTCATTCTTACACCAACAGTCATTTAAGTTAAAAATCATCGGACATTATCAGGTGATGCTGGTCCTTATTGAGCTTTTAATGTCCCTTTTGGAGCTGTATTAAAGATATTTGTTTAATCCAGAGTTTGCTGCTCATGCAAATGTCCAACCATCTCTATTAACGTGTGATTTAGTTAATAATCAACAGAAAGTTTAAAAGGAAGCACAAGTAGACAGGGTTGGAACAGAGTTTCACTTCCTGTTTGTGTCCAGGTGTGTGGATGAATGTTATGTTTCTGTGGAGAGAAAAAAGAAGAGTGATGAAAATGGTTTGTGTTAGTATTGTCAGCTGCGGGAGGTTTCCAGAACAAAGGCTACACGTAATAGCTTTATACACAAGGGAGTGATGTCATCACATGTGTGGTGGCACTGGCATGGATGCTCTGATTCACTTGGGATTTCCCTAGTTTTCCATCTGCCTTTGTTAGCACATCTGGTTATCGTCCTTACAGGTAATTACAGGGGTTCATGATTATGTGATACATGCTGGACGTCATCATCTCCGTACATATTCAGAAAGGTTTTATGTGACAGTTTAAATTTATGCTTGGTTTGGTTTTAAGTATCTCCTTCATGATTGGTGCATTCACGAGCAGCAAGTTTGGTTTCATGGTACTGGAGACGTGTAATTTTATATCGTCTGCGTGAGTGAGTGTGAGAGAGAAAGACGTTGTTCTGCTTGTGTTGTGCTTTCTCAGCTGTTCTTTCTGGTTTTGGACACACCCTGCCATGTGAGGCATGCAGAGAAAATGTAAGTCACGGGGTCATTGTGACTAATCCACTGCCTCGCACTCAGCCCCCTATTTCCTTCGACATTTTCCCCCATCACATCACATGGCGACCCTGCCTTAATACATCTTAACACATACACAGTCAGAAAGCAGGATTTCTTGTCTTCTTTGTGGCGTTGAACCATGACAGAAGATATGTGGGCAAGTGCGACTTGGTAACATTTTTGATGTGATTGTTTTTGCGATTATTAGTCCCGTAACTGCCATGTTTACTTCAGCTGTTGAGTCACTTTGGTTCGCACGGCCTCCGGACTTTACTGTTTATGCATTTCAACTGAGCTCTGTTGGAATATCCTCATATTGTAAGGAAACCCACCACCGACGCATGTGGACAGGATGTCCTTTTCTAGATTGCCGGTAACTTGAAAATAAGAGCCAAATGTTTGTTTGTGTTAGATTTAATAAACTTCCCTTTGAGACTCCATATCCCAAAGACTATCAGTCAATTACAATACATTAGCTAACAACTGGAGTAGAGTACATGGCCACTGTACAAGGATATGGATGACATTGATGCATCACATTTTTTAGATCATTTCTTTGACAAGTGGGCTGAATGTCCCAATTACATCCCAATTACAAAAAGGGTTTTGTCCTTATGAGGTGTCAAGTTGCAAGAAATGTATGCATGTTATAAGATATTCGTCAATATTCACCTCAAGTGACATAACTTTATAATGTCCATTAGTCACACTAGTTACTCTAGTGGCGTGTTTTGAACTTACCAGTTGAACTAGTAAACAAATTTTGCGTCTTGGCATTGATTCTGTATGTTATCTCAACGCTCGAAAAATTCACGTCAGCAATGCTTAGCAATGCTTAGCTGCTCTTCAGTGCCTATATACAAGCTGGAGAATTAAGTTTAATGTATTTATCAAAGGTGATTGTATTACTATTTATACAACAGATTATACATGATTTTAAAGGGGGAATTCCCTGAGCACCCATGTGGTCAAGAAAAATATACTTCTCTCCTTGGAATATCGTATCAAATCGCAGTGTATGGGAAATGCTTAAGTTCACTGATTCCAGTAATGCATGTATTTAACAGTACCTTTGCAGTTACACACACTATAGCTCATCCATCATTATGCTGACAAGCAAAGTGTAACTCAAACAATCTAAAAGTTTCTTCAGAATCCAATGGCTCATGATACACTATATGTATCATATTGAATTTACAAGGAAATCTTAAAATATATATGCGTATTATATAGAAAAATGTCCAGTTGATTCATAGACAAAGAGCATTTTTTAAACTTTGAAGGAAACTGAAGGAAACTTGTGTCTCAGGGTTTACCAGCATCTTGTTTTTCTTGATTTATCTCTTACCGTAAGCAAATCATAAAACAAACCAGTCAGTGTTTATCAGTTACTTCCTTGTAAGACACTAGCAGTAATTTGAATTGCCCAGTTGACAGGAGGATGTTAAAGGTTAATCTGAAAAACTGTTAATAGGTGCGCTGTTTTCTTTAAGGGTGTGTGCTCCACCTGATCTAATCTAATTTTAGTTTATCTTTGGATGGTTAAGCCTCTATATATCCTTTATTGCATAAAAACTGCTCTTTTATTTACATTGCCAGTTACACGTTTGCCATTTTCAGTTTGCCTTTCACACATGCACAACACAGGTTTTCTGCACAGGCACGTTCACAACAGCATCAAATCCTCACCAGAGTTGGAGCAGCTGGGTGCAGCAGACAGGGGCAGGAAGTGACGAATTAAGATCACATGGTTTTCTTTAAAACACAGACAGTGGCGTCAACTCTTATCACCACAAACTCTCTTTACATCTTCATCTGTGTCTTCTGTGTGTGTGTCACTGCCTTTTTACCTGGAGATTTCTATGGCCTTTATATTAAGAGGCCAGGGGATAAAGTCTGCAGAAATTGCAGAGCGTCTCACGCAGACATTGCGACACATGCACCTCCTCCTGAAAAAATACGGAGGATCTTCAGAGTTTTAATTACGTGTCTGAAAGCAACTATTGTCATTGTTCATATGCAGTATTTACATTATACAAGCTCTTTTTGTGATACCGTAAAATATAGCTACCATGCAAAAGCTATAACATGCAACAGTTTATCTAACAGTTTGTCAAATATGATAAAGCATGTCCTGCAGCATGGTACAGATATCATATATGTCTATCATTACACCCCAGGGTAAGCTAACGTTAGCATGTCCGACCGTAGTACAGCAGAAACGAAAAATCAATGAGCAGGAACAAGAATCAAAAA